AATAACTACTGTGGTAATGTAACCCAAAAAATCAATAAATGTGATTTAGAAAAATAAATAAATAAAACTTCCCAACCATGCATTTAACGAAGTGAATTACTTTTTTTGCAGTGTGTGTAAAGGCAGACTTAGAAGGAGAAAATAAAAGGTCCAATTGTCATTTAACATTTCTAAGAACGGACTTCATGGTTTAATGTACTGAAAGTGAAAACCTCATGAGGATGTATTGATAGATTGCTAACTTCTTACTTTCTGCGAAAAGAATTAATAAATGATTTATTGATTATTTATAAAAGTCACAGCTTCACAGCCCTTTATAAAAAAAAATGCTGCATTTCTGTGTTCCAGGGCCCAGTCCATCCTTTTGCTTATAAGTCAAATATCCACTCTGGGCCACTTGAACTGCATCAAACTCACCACTGAAACACTTGAAGTCCCTGTGAGTATTAGCCTAGTGATATTTCTTTTATTTTATTTTTTTATTTAATTTATTTTTTCGTTCGGGTGGGTTGTTATCGCGAGGAAGCTCTGAAGCTCAAGAGGTGAAGTGAAGCGAGAGTGTTTTTCTACGTCGACGCTTCCAGGGTGGCACAGAAACAGGGACGTCTGCAGGCTCTTCATGAGAACACGGACTACATGTATGCCTTATGTGACATTATTCTGTGTGTGTGTGTTGCTTTTTGTGTGTGTGTGTGTCTACATCTCATCCCTCTGACGCTCGTCACACATCTGTAACCGCTGGAATCCCCAGTTTTCAGCACCTGGACAGCTCCCGGTCGTGAACCTCTGCCTCCTCTTCTTCTTCTTCGTTTTATTATCGGGCACATGGAGTCCCTGATGTGATTGTGGGGGAAGCCCTGCAAAGCACATTAATGCCTCCCTCCGAAGATGTCGTTCCCTGCCTGATTCAGTGACAGCCCCCCTCTCGTCGTCTCCTGCTGAAGGATGCTGCTTCCAGTCCGGAGGAGGTGTTGTCGTCGTGCGCTATCCTCCGAGAGGCGATACGGGTGCTTGGCCAACGCGAATTTCAGGGTAATCGCAGCCTACACACAGCAAGATCCGAGCTTCCCTCACACTGATCATCATCACCATCAGCAGCAGCAGCAGCAGCAGCAGCAGAAGCAGAAGCAGCGACGAGGAGGGAGATATCTCCATCATCATCATCATCATCACTGCGAGGGCAAAGGAGTCACGACCACACTTTAGACAATGTAGAGCAAGACGACACGAGAGGTTAGTGTGTCTTTTCGAGGCGGCGTTTGATTCCCGTGCGCAGCGGGTAGTTTGGTGTATTTGCGCTGAACGAGGCTGCGTGGCCTCTAAAACAGCATCGGAACTGTTTATGTTAGCCGGGACTTGGTGCTGGTGGTGGTAGTGGTGGTGGTGGTGGGGAGAAACGATCGCAAAATGCATCTCGATCGTTGCAGAAAGCCTGCACAGAATCGATTGTGAAGTGAAATAGTGTAAATTTGTGCCGTCTTTGTGCAGAACCACCTCCGCTGATGAAGCACTCACTGTAGGCTGTACTTATAGTAATAAGGGGGAGAGACTCAAGATGCTGATTGTGGAATCCAGTCTTCTGTGATACTATGATTTACCAAAGTCTAGAAGTGCAAGTGAAGAATCCCCAGAAACAGCTGCAGGCATCCTTGCTTTCCCCTTTTTTAAAAGTGTTTTTGGTAACATTTTTTTGACTTCTACTGTTTTGTTGTTTTCCTACAGTATAATGCTAAAGAGCACTTTTTTTTTTTGTGGTGCTGCAGTGAAACCATATCACTGTCAGCCCTGGAATGACCTGTGCTGATTTATCCTGAGTAGCATTTAATCTGCTGTGCTTCACTACATTACTCTCCTGTGGCTGCGAGTGCTGACTCCTCACCTCTGAATGTCCAAAGGTTTTAGTTTTTTTATTTATTTTTTTTGTGATAACTCTTTATCATTACCCCACATTCCAACAAATACAGTCTAAATCATGTGTGAAGTTTTTCTCAATTTCTCGATTGGCCTTTTTGCAGTGGTGGAGGTTTCATGTTGAAGCTACGTTTTGGGGCTTTCCTGTTTGGTCATGACATGTCTGTTAAGCAGCTGGAATAGGCTCTCGCTGAATCGACTTGGACATCAATGGCTCTCTATCCCGTGGCACAAAGAGCTAGCATCCTGCTGTACTTGCTATGCAAGAGGTGTGATGTTCCTCAGCCCCTGATTCACAGGGTGGAGCGTATATTGGAGGAGATTTAAAATCCATTACAGTTTAGTGCTCCCCAGGAAAATAGTTGAACAGAGCGTAGCTAAAGCTGGAGTTAAGACAGGGAGCCTTCAGGGGGGAAAAAAATAAATAAATAAGCACTGATAATTCATTGATAATTCTGGATGCATTCGTGTTACTCAACTGCATATAGATGTTTCATGATTTTGAGAGTAAATGTTTATTTTTGACCTTGAAAATCGCAGTTGGCAAAACAATCTTCCCACAAGATCTATTTGTTGCTGTTTCTGATGCTGCCAATCATATCTCACTATCTCTCTCGGAGTTTTTCCCGCGATTTACTGCCTGATGTGCTTTTTTTTCTGTTGTTATTACTTTGCACTTTTTGTATTTCCCCCCGTAGGTGTGGTAGGAGCCAGCTCTCTGCAGTGGTGAAATCACATTTCACACTTGGGGTCATTCAGCGTGGACTTCTATTTGCAGCAACAAGACCTCGACATGAGCAACACCCAGTAAGTGTAACACCCGCCAGAGTCATCCATGGTTGAGAGAGTGTGAAATCTTAAATCTCTATTTATGAACACGCAGTCTTATGCAAAGGGAATCTCAGCGCGGCGGGATGTGATTAGCAGAATGGGACCTGCATATTGTCGTGCCCCTCCTGTGAGTGACTTTGAACAGGGATCAGTGGGAACTCGGCCACATCCAGTATATTTCTCAGAGTGGCCGGCCATCTCCAGTCTCTGCTGGCATCTCTTAGCATTCAGGAGGGATGCTCACTTGTCATCTTCTCTTATTAATAATTACTCTGTGTGTGGTCCTCCAGACAGGCCCCGCATTCTGATGACATCCAGGGTTGGGGCTAAGAGAAGGGAAAAGAGAGCGAGGTGGGGAATGGAGCTGAGTGGGAGGAAGTGGAGTGGAGTAACGTGGAGTGGAGTGAGAGGTGAATGCAAAATGGGTTCAGTCAGCTGCATCTTCTGCAAAGAGCAGGACGCTGCTTCCAACCAACAGGGACCTCCGTCCAGCCTCAGACCAGCAGATTAGCGCAGCTGATGGTTGACTACATGTCCATGTTAAAACATCTGTAATCAGATATTATAAGGGAATGTGTTGACTGGTTAGTAGTACAAAGGCACGCTTTAATGCCGCTGAGTGCCGGTGACTCTGTGCGAAGTGACAGATGGGAAACTCTCATGCAGAGAAAGGTCTTTGGAGTTATTTTCACCCCTGCTCTCTCAGACTCGATGCTGTTGTAAATCCCCCCTCCTCTCTCCGGCACGCTGTAGCATCTCTGCTCTGGAAGCAGTGGGAGGCAGGATGGCAAAATATTAGATGCTCAAATAAAACTAATTCAAAGTGATTCGCCTTAAATATTTCACAAAAACAAATTACGGCGCATCTTTGTATATCTGTAGTCTCTATTCAAAAACAGTGAATGTAAAGGTTGGAAAAAAAGTGCTTATCCTCGTTCACCTACTATGGAGCTAGTCGTACATTTTTTCCTCATTCTTTAAACAAGGAGTGAACGTCACACACCCTGAGGAGCCTGGTGGCTTTGAAACAGGTCAGCTCACACTTACTGCAAGTAACCTCCGCATCACATAATCCAGTGCTGTGTTGCTCTTAATGTTGCAGCATAATGAGGCTATTAGAATATGTCATCTGTTTATAGTTCACTGTTTACGCATCTAGGGTATGTGTTAATCTTATCATAATCATTTTTAAAGGTCCCATATGGTGAAAATTAATTTTCATTTTGTTTTGTGGTTGGGCTGCAGAAGGAACGGTGGTTAGCATCGTTGCCTCGCAGCAAGAAGGTTGCTGGTTGGCGTCCCGCTGAGGACACCCAGGATCTTTCTGCGTGGAGTTTGCATGTTCTCCCTGTGCAGTGTGGGCTCTCTCCGGGTTCTCCCGCTTCCTCCCACAAGGTCCAAAAACATGTTGAGGTTAATTGGTGATTCTAAATTGTCTGTAGGTGTGAATGTGAGTGTGCTTGGTTGTCTGTCTCTAAGTGTAGCCCTGTGATAGACTGGTGACCTGTCCAGGGTGTCCCCTGCCTTCACCTTGAGTCAGCTGGGATAGACTCCAGCTCCCCGTGACCCTAGTGAGGATTAAGCGGTGTATAGATACTGGATGGATGGATGTTTTGTGGTTGTTATAAACTTGGGCGTGTAAAGAATGAACTGTTAAGATACGAAGATATTTATTGAGCCATTCAGAAAGAGCAGGTGCCTCCAAATCCACCTCACAGCTCTGTCTGCTAACTCTAAAATGTCTTAGCCACAAGCAAAGTGTGCCAAATGTTCGAATAAACACAAAAGTCTTCATGCACTCCCAGCATCTGAGGAACTAAAGACACAGTGGATGACTTTTATGACTGATGGCAACGTCACCACAGTGTAGGAAAACTCTTGGTTTTAGTGCGGTGTGCGGCTACTGTGGCTAACTTTGCTATTAGCTTTGACTGAATGACCGCAGGATGGATCTCTGTGGAAACTGTAAAGCCAAAAGACAATCAGAGATAGTGGAGACCAATTTGACACCGCTAAACAAAAACAGGGTGGGTTATTGTGTTTTCATGTTGCCTCCTGTGCATCAGTGCAGCCTAAAGTCAGCCAGTTTTGACATGTTTACTTCTGTCTTCCTCTCTATGCTCATATATAATGCATTTAATAGAGTTTATTTCCTAATAAAGCCGCTCTCATTTACATATTTCATTGTTTCTGTTGTCAGGCGATGAAACAACTATGAAACAGTGACTGAAACTCAGCCATTTAAAACTACATTTTAGCCATTTCCAAGCTTGCCTGAACCACTAAACTACTGATTTAATAACCACAAAGTTGTCTGACAAGCTCACCGACAAATGAGTTCAAAATAATAGCTGTGCAATATTTCCATGCAAAATTATCACTCAGAGAGAAAGTTAGAAGAGACAGAAAGTTGCAGAGAGAGTCTTCTTCCTGAAGGGGGCTTGGACAGTAACAGTTCAGTTGTATTTAAAGTGTCAGACACTGAAACAGCCTGTTTAGAACAGTACTAAAACCAAAGTTTATACAGGTATAGTAAAATTAACCTTCTTTGAAAGATTTTGAGCCATAAAGACACATTCTGTTGACATGTGAACTCTAATGAATTTACAAAAAATTATCACATTAGGAGACCTTTAAATATTACGTGTGTAGAATTGCATTTTTCCAGGTTAATCGTAGATATATTGGTGAATCCAAAAACATGTTGAGGTTAATTGGTGATTCTAAATTGTCTGTAGGTGTGAATGTGAGTGTGCTTGGTTGTCTGTCTCTAAGTGTAGCCCTGTGATAGACTGGTGACCTGTCCAGGGTGTCCCCTGCCTTCACCTTGAGTCAGCTGGGATAGACTCCAGCCCCCCATGACCCTAGTGAGGATTAAGCGGTGTATAGATAATGGATGGATCCAAACCCACAACCTATTGTTCCTTATTGTTTGTGCCACCCATGCTTAATATATGCTGTATCTTATTCCTCTGTGCCATAGATGGTCACTTTTTGAACATAGTTCCCAACAAATGCACTGCTGCTTCTGTTTATTACTCCTTTTGCTACAAACAGCAGTGCCCAGCTGTTTTTAGAAACAGCTTTTTCAAAAATGAAACTTTTGACCTGTTCAAATTAATTTGTCATTGAGTAGGAAACCATTGCCAGTCAGACTGATGCATTCTTGACATTGTTCTATATTTCTCATTTTGATAATGGCAAAAATAAATCAGCTGTTAGGACGTTAATGTTTCAGACATCGTCTTTTCCGCCTGCAGCAGATTCAAAGCTGATACATTTAAGAGTAAAAAGACAAAAGAACAAAACACTTTTCACCGATGCAGAGGAATTGTCAATTTCTCCTTGGACCTCAGAATCGTAGGTGCTGCCAAAAATATCTGATCTTACAAATGCACCATTGTGTCAGAGGCATTGTGATGATATTAGGACGGTGAACCGCTGTGCACCACAGAGCAGCAAAGCGTCCACATATAAACTTATTGGGTAAGACAGAGCAGCTGGGTTACAGACTGCTGGCCAGAAATGCGGTGGCAGAGAGCGCTCCGAATGACAATGATACCAATGCCCTCTGCAAACCAACAGTTCATGCTGAGGCAGCACTTTGAAATCCATTGAAGTGTCAGAAGCAGAGAATGTATTGCTCAGAATAGGTGATTTAATATATGAAGTGACAGGCTGTAATCTCATCCTTTATCACCTTGACAGAATGCAGGACTGCATTTGATCATTGTTGTACTGTTTTGGGATCACATAGCGTTATGTGTTTAGTTTTAGTGTGTATTAACAGTAATTTATGCATGAAAAGCTGACTCTCGCACATAAACACCTCTCTGTAAGCACCGCCTTGCTTTACAGTCACACCTGGCTGTTGGGACTTGGGTGCTATGATATAAGACATGTCAGCTGCAGTTTTACAGCCAGTGTTGGAAATGTGAAGTAAATCCTTCTCAACCACAAACTCCACTCTCAAACCAGAGGGCTATATCTGCTAATACAGCACAGAGAAAAGTTCAGCGATCTCAAACGTCTTATCTCAGATTCCGTTCGGGATAAGAGATAACAATGCACAGCAAAAAATAGAGAATAATATTTGCACACGTGAGGCAATTAGTTTGTTCTGACATTTTAACAAAATGAATCCTGATCTTAGCCGTAGCCTCACACTGGATTTAACCTTAATTTTTATCTTTACGTACATGTTTAAACATTATAGACTCATTTTTCACTCGCAGTTAACTACAAGTCGACACACTCCCTCCCAAAGGGTCTTTTATCAGCATTAGGACCTTGTTTGTGTGCACTTGTGTTTGTAGTCAGAGTAAAAATGTATAAATTACTTTTACTTTCTGTTGAGTTCAGCACTATTGGACATCAGTGGTATTTGAGTACCTTTCTCACAGAAGGCTGCAGGAAACTGAGGCTAGAATAGATTGCAATTGAGTTTCATTGAAACTCCTGAGAGTCTTGCCAAGGAGATATTCATACTGAAAATGCCTAGCAAGGCTTTCTTTTATGCATGTCCAAGAAATGTATAACTGGGGAATATCCTTGTAAAGGATATAAATGATGACGCCATCTAAAGCTCATCACATATATTCACGGTTTAGAATTTAAGGTAAATAATTATCCAGCCTGTAATGTTGTGACAAACGACACTAAACTGCCAAGTCAGTAAACTGAATGTAAAGGAGAGACTTCAGTTGTTTATGCTTTTCTATATCCTATGATTAAAGCACGGCGGCTTAATAAATATGGATCGCTCATATTCTGAAGCATCTGGAGCCAATTCATGCCATTAATTACAGAGAAAACTAGATTTTAAAACTATAATGTTCTCTGAAACATGCAGTCAGAAATGTATTTGTATTAATGTAATCAGTATCATCGGCTAAAGTTATTCTTTTGTGTAATAGCAGGATAGTTACTGTGTGGAAACCCTGAGCTACCAATCGTTTGATCTCATGGCAAGTTAATGTAACTATAGCCTCAAAGCTGGGGTGGGTAGTTTTTTTTGTTGTTTTTTTGTTTTGTTTTGGGCCGTTTGGAAAAATTCCAAACTAACATTTCAGTACATTGTAATAAAAATGGTTTGAGACTAAACAAGACTTTTACACCTCTTCTATTTGCAGGATTTAGACAATGTAGCCCGTGATGGAAGACTGTGGGTCAATAACAGGACGTTTTAGACATGATCAGATGAAATAATATTGAGAGCGACAAAGTTCACAGTGGGATTTGGGTTAAATTAGTTTAACAGAGGACTTTCGTGCAGGACAGTGACTATGGCTCCTGTGTGAAGCAAAAATAATTGTGTTGAGTTTTAACTTTCTACACATGTCCCCATGCTGAAGACAGGAATGAGCTCTCAGAGGAAGGCTGTATTTTCAAACTGAGATATCTTTGTTTGTCTTATTCTCCATTTTCCCAGATTACTGCCTACTGCAGCTTTAATACACAACTATAAGAACAATAATCATGTGTCAGGGTAGCATTTAAGATCACAAGCTAGTATAGAGGCGTAGCTTTTGCACCTTGTGGGTTTTAATGGTTAGCCTTAGCTCCTACTCTGTATGGATATGAGGTCTTCCCTGCAGCCATGCATGCTCTATGTTAACCTTTCTGATTCCTCGTGGCGTTTGCTAATGTTGCATGCCTCTGAAAACAGCCTAGCCTTTAGCATGCTGCTGGCTGCCCTTGCCTGCATCGTTGAAGGGAGCAGCGTGTTCGGATGTGAAGCCTCCGCTCCCTCCCCAGGATGGCAACCAGCCACTCCACTGGGCTCTGCACATAATGGCTCCTGGCCTGCTCTGTGATTGTCTGGAAATGTGATTTTGATGCACTAAACAGTTTGTGTGTGTCATGAATGATTAGCATCCTTGTTGCAGCTGGTCAGATGTGCCAACTCCACGGATAACGCTGGGATGCGCCGGCGCGTTTTGTGGCTGGCATGTTAATATATGGGCGTTTGACCCTCAAGCTGAACAACACATCTATAGCTGGACTCGCATAACAAAAGGGCCAGATATTTCAATGGAGAAAAGGCCTATAGTGAGGACATGAGAATAAGAAAAGTTTGTGCCCAGTCGTCCTTATATGCCATGTGATGAATGTAGTTCAAGTGATTCTCAGTTTCCTGTGAGAATAACAAAATAACCTTTCAAGGGAGTCCATTAAACAGCTATTAGTGAAGAAGTAAATCAGGAAAAAGAAAGACCTATTTTCCTTTCCAGGCCTGCTTACATTAACATTTAACAGGAAGGTGGGTCTGCTCAGTGATCTTCTGCTAACTGGTTCCTCCCTCTCCGTTTCACCTCCAGCACAGAGGTTGTAGAATTCACCAACCCAGTGGCTTTTGTTCCCTCTGTCTTGTAATCAATGCCTTCCTCCACCGTTAAGTACTCCAGTTATTGATGTCTCCACACTGGCTGAACTGGGACTGCAGCCAAGCAATGTGAGTCTCCTGTTCCAGGGTGACTTCTCCTTGTCCGCTATTGGCTGAGCTCTGCAGGATCACAACCCTCCCTGAATATTTAAGCTTTAAGGCCTCATTGGCAGATAAAATGACACCTTGTCTGGTCCTGCCAAATATAGCAAACTTCACAGAGAGCAAGAAGGAGGAAAATATCATGAAAACATCCTTTATCAAGGCTGCAAGGTGTAGCGGTGGTTAGCACCGTTGCCTCGCAGCAAGAAGGTTGTCAGTTCGCATCCCACTGAGGACACCCGGGATCTTTCTGTGTGGAGTTTGTATGTTCTCCCCGTGCAGCGTGGGTTCTCTCCGAGTCCTCCGGCTTCATCCCACACAGTCCAAAAACATGTTGAGGGTTAACTGGTGATTCTAAATTGTCCGTAGGTGTGAATGTGAGTGTGCTTGGTTGTCTGTCTCTAAGTGTAGCCCTGTGATAGACTGGTGACCTGTCCAGGGTGTCCCCTGCCTTCACCCTGAGTCAGCTGGGATAGACTCCAGCCCCCCATGACCCTAGTGAGGATTAAGCGGTGTATAGATAATGGATGGATGGATGGATGGATGGATGGTGTTATGTGTTTGGTCAAGCCATTTCCTAAAATACACCATACGTTTCAATAACCTTTTGCCACCAAAAGGCTTCTTTTTTTTCTTTTTTTTTAATTAGTGAAGCTTTTTGAAAGTTAGCTGCACACAAGCACAGAGTTTATGTGCTTTAATTTTGGGGGGAAAAATGAATTTATTTACATAATTTCCGTCCTTTAATTGTACTTTGGCAGCTGATGCTAAAATCTAAAGTGTTTAAGGATACTAGATTGAAAATACTTTTTAAAATGTGAGCCTGCATAACTAATAATCTGTACAAAAACTGTTGTTCACTGTGGCAGAACACTCATTTAAGTCTGTAGTGATGAACTGAAACCAATTGCTGCTTGAAAAGTATGAAATCATTCCAAATTTATGAATGCAGTTGAAAGCAGCAATATATAGCACATGATTTTTAGTTACAGATGGTTTATGTGATGTTTTAATCAATAAACTCTCTCTGCGGTATTGTGAAACAGGCAAAGCACCATAGTTTCTGTGTTTTGAGACTTTGTTTACTGCACACTGCCAACAAGACATGTAAATCAGTTTGTTATAGCTTTCCAGGTAAATGCGTTCTTGTTGAGGGCACCAACAAACACTGAAAAACAAGAAATTTCACACTGTATTTGTGTTTTCATTCATCAAAATTAAGCATTGTCCCGCTAGTTATAATCATTCTACCTGGAGCATTTTCAAAGTAGGTGCATTGGCTAATTCAAACAAACGGCACACTTTCATACAACCTTGCACTGCAACTCTGCCATCTGTGCTGTAGACCTCACCCCCACTGCCGACATGCAGATACAAATTTTAGCCACACGTATAATCAGCGAAAACATACAAAACCACCCGTGGATGATACTTGCAGCAAATGCTTTGGTTCTCTGACTATAATGCTGTGCTGGTTGTGGTGTGTGTTGTGTGTCACAGGGCCCCTCCCCAGGCTGGAGCCTCAGAGCTGGAGGTCATCTCCCAGCAGGTAGAGGAGGAAAACCAGTGTGTGGCCCCTGTCCAGCTGGTCAGCTTTGCCTACAGAGACTTGCCTTTGGCGGCCCTGGACATATCCCTCGCCGGATCCCAGCTCATCTCTAACCCCGATGAAGAGGACAACAGAGAGGGGTGGGTCCCATAAATTGCATCCTTCACATTCTGTTTTGGCAGTTTGACCACAGTCGGTAATAAAAATCTCTTGAGGCGATTATGTAATTAATGAGCGCTTGTTGCAGCCCAAAATGGCAACCTCACTGGGGTCACATGGAAAAGGATGCGCTGTGTTCAAGGAACGAGAAGATTATGATTTGTTTCTCAAACTACATGAAACTAAGCACTTTAATTATCGTTATTATCACTTATCATTTGAATAGTATCAAAGACTGCACGATTTGGGGGAAGCTGGAAACAAATTAGTGGCACGATTATCAGTGAAATCTTTCTATAATTAATTTGTATACTAAAAAGCCCAAAATGTAATTAAATATTGATTGATGTTCTGGATATTTTCCCCCACAGGTAAGAAGATACAGATATGGTGTCTGAGACATTGTGTCTTGGTTTTTTTGCGTGAAAGTGCTACATTCATAATTAAGGCAGAATTGCAATTACTGCAATCTATAATCTACCCTGGCAGAGAAAAGCTCTGCCGTCACTCTCTCCATTGCTCGTTATTGCACATGGTAATTACACCTGGCGTATTGAATCATTCCTCATTTTATATTGGAGTCCGTGAGTCGAGGATATTTGGCAATGAATTTATTAGTGTCACCGTGTTAAATGGACAATGTCTCCACTGATGTGTTCATTTCAGCTCAATGACACAGCAATTTCTCTCTACCAGACAGGCTTCTGTTCACAATGTCGATTTCTGGCAGAAAACAAAGAGTGTTGTTAGCACCATAGCTTTCCTGAAATGTCAGAGCCCCGTGGCGGTACTGTTTCTGTCCGTGAGGTCTGCTTGTCCTGGGTTCGTGTTGTTTTCTTATCACCATATCGCCATGCTGCAGGCCCAGCGTTCTCAGGACAGGACACACCCCTCCTAGAGCACCCCTGTAGCAAGTGTCCATGGCTCTCCACTCAGGAAGCGTGACTCACAACCCTTTTGGCTCGCTGCGATGCTGGCATCCATGCAGAAAAAGTCGACAAACAGCATAAGCTTAATTAGAGCATCCGGCATTTCGCCATCCAAGCCCTGGTGTGTCAGCTGACCACGTCCGGCTGGACGTTGCCTGGTTTGGCCTGGTCTAGGCCGATGGCTCTGTGGGACGGAGGGCAGGGACAGATGGGTCCTGTCCCATACACCCACTCTCTCGTCCTTCCTCATATCACTCTCTTGCTCGCAAAACAAACAGAAAACGCACACATAGCAATGCCACGGCAAAGGGCAGGATCTGGCTGCCCGGCAAAATTATCATCACAGTGGGCACTCTCATATGGCACCATATGATAGCCTGGTCCCCTGGGAGTTGGCACTGTGTGATGGAAAAGTCATGCAGGGCCAAGACATGTCTCTGGAGGAACCAAAATTCTTTATCATGAAAAGTAAAGGGGGGGGATGGGGGGCATTGGTTGTGTTCAGAGAAACAACCTGTTTAGAGACCAAGCTTGAAGTATGCAGAAACACTGTGCAGTCTCTCACCTGTGTGAGTGTCGCGGTATGTTTGATGACCTTTTCAGATTGGAATTCCTGATTTTCAGGTCAGTGACATTCCTAGACATACCTGTCATTACCCTTTCATACGCATGTTTGTGTTTTGGAAGCTGGCTTGGAAAAAAAGGCCACAGGTTGCGGCCGCCTTTGTGACTCACGTGTGTAACATTCAAGGAATGACATCATGGTGGGATGTGTTTTCTGCTGCATGATTATAAATTAATCAAGGCGACCAAAGGCCTTAGTGACGGAGCAATGAACTGACTAATCTATTTTCCTCTGGCTCTGTAAAATGTTTTTTCTCATTGGAATGTACAGCACCGTCATGGAGACTCTTCTACTTGTGCATACTGAAGGCTAATTTTAGCACTTTGTAAATGATTGTGCACAAGAATGTAAACCTGCTTTCAGTGCTTTACTCTCAGTGCTTTAATTTTGGCCATTCGCAAGACAGCTTGTTTTTTTAAGCTACAATGACATTCACTCTTTCACTGTAACTTACACTGTATATCCGTCATCACCCTTTCTGGATATGATTTTATCCTGTGGTAGCATATATATATATAAGCAGGTTCGCTCTAATCATTTTCTCCCCATTTGATTTGGAAGGCTTGTATTAATTCCCGACTAGTTTTAGATCCGTAATCAGAGATGGGAAAAAAGAGGGCTCGTTATTTGCGATGTGAGTCAAAATCGTTGATGCCGAGGCTTTGCTTTTGTATCGTTCCATATGCCTGTGCAGAAAAAGAGCAGAAGAATACACACCAGAGATGCACATTTAGTCTCGCATAGCAGCTTCTCATGGCTCTTTATCAGGAGACGTGGGTGATTATGTAGGAGGTGGATGTTCTTGCGGACCACAAGGGGCACACACAGTACTTGCAGATTCTGTGCAGTGGTGAGCTGGATGGAGTTATTAATAGATTTTTAGCTGCTCAATCTTCTCCAGAACTTGCTGGAAGGTCCAAGGTGAGGGTGGTGTGATTTTGCGTCCATGACTTAATTATTATTTGTTTTTTTTAGGTTGGTTGAGTTTGAAAATTTGGCCTCTCAATAGTGGACAGTTTTTTTGTGTGTGTGTGTTTTTTCTGAAATGGAGAGATATCACGCTTTTTCTTGTTTTCATGTTTTGACTGGAGGAAGCTAACTAACCCAGGTATTCCTAAAAGGGGCAGTTTAAAGGGAATAAGCAGGTATTTAATAGACTAGCCTGCTATTTGTGTGTGTGACTATACAGCATACACAAACTGACTGTTAAAATATTTGGTACTTTAACTGTTTTTAAAGGTGATTCAAATTTTGAAGCTCTTTTACACGACTTTATTCAACTGTGAGGTAACACTTTTTTTTAGACACAACATAAGCAACACCAGTTGTGACTGACTGGTTTTCAGCAGCAAGGTGGAATATCAAGATGTTCTTCTACTCCTGACCTTAGTGACCTTATGACTAGGTGGAGCCCAGGCTCCTGGAGAGCATCCCCACGCTTCAGTCTTTGGACCCCGGGCTGCACATCCTGAGCTCGTCCCTGGTTATCATCCCCAGATCAGCCTGCTGTCCACAGCAGCAGCAACATATGCCGCTGATCTCCAGGGGCCAGACTGAGAGGTGTGAGGCACTGCAGCAATGACAGATGGTTCATATGGGTCAACCTGCCACTTTGACTGGAAAAGAGAGGAGGCGGAGGGGATAAAGAGAAAGGAGGAATGGAGCAGATGACCTTCCTCCACACTTTCATTCATAAAGCTGCCAGCTGCAGATCACAAGGAAATGACTCCATTTGAGGAATGTCATTTCTGCCCGTGTTGCACAGTAGTGTGGGATTAACCCTGTGCCATGACGACCAAAGTTGCTCGCTGATATACAGCGTTAGGTAAAATGTCAGATATGAGATAAGCATATGCATAATGCTCAGATTTCCCCGGTGAAATGGAGTTCTCCAGGCGCTGTTCGCTCACTGCAATGCATTAATATAGCAGTATGTCAACATGTACATAACCAAACCGAGGTTGGCAGCGCTCAAGGTTGAAGTAAGATGTAATAATTGCAAAAATCCAGACCGGAGAATATAGCTATGAAGAACGTTGCCAGAGTCTAGCATGAATCTTGGCAGCAGCAATATTTCATGGGGCTTTGGAACCAGAGCCATACTGTACCTGTGCTATGTGGATGGATGTCTGAAAAGAGAGCAGGATTTCTTTTTTCTTTTTTTCTTTTTTTTTTTTTCTCCCCTCTGACTCTATTTCAAACACACAGAGTAACAGTCCTCTCCATCAAATTGGCTCTCTTGCCTGGCACCATGTGCGACACAATAGATGACATTTGAGTGCAGGGTTTGAGGGTTTGTTAATATTCACAGACATGCAAAGTGTGAGATTGCTTTTTAGGCTGAGAGTGAGAGAGATCAAGTGTCCTGGTGAAAACCCATTTATCAGGGACAGCTTGTCTGCTGCTCCGCACATGGAGCCCCATCCATCTCCATTTGCTTAGTGTCTGTGGCCCATTTCTCTGGCAAAGACCAGCGCCGAATCCCCCTCTGCTGGGCTGCATCATGATGTAGGATGCAGGGAGTGAGGAGATGATAGCTGATTGCATTTAGAAACCACTGGACAGGTCAGATTATACTCAGAAACTGCATGCATTTTCTTACAGATGAGATTTCAAAATGTGTTTGCGGGTGTACTGTAGGCGCCATGCTAGAACCTGAGCTTCAATTATCGGCACCTGTAATCGATTAGTCCTTTTCATTTGATTTGTCAATTTACCGCAAGAATTTGTTAATTCCCCCGGCGTGAAACTGTAAAAGATTAATTGCAACGAGGAAGGAAATCTCTAAAATGTGCAATTGATTACCAATGATTACTTTATTCAGCATATTTATTGCTTAGCTGGTTTCCTCGCTCAGGGCTTCTTTGCTTCTTTTGGCTGTGATAACACAGATGACTCAGCAGTGGTTACACAGGAAAGCATTTAATCAGTTGTTAAGTTGGCATTTGTCTTGATTTTCAAGCAGTCTGGGTGGCGGTCCCACCTGTGTTTCCTCAGGAAATGGAAAGTCAGGTTACAAAAATAAAAATAAACAAGTGCATACAGTACATCGGGGATTAAATGCCTCTTCAAGTGTGCGGAGTGAGTTAAGGAACAGGTGTAATGCAGAGCGCTCGAACAGCCCGAATGAGATGAAGTCTTCTACCTCTGCTGTTCAGTAGCCTGCAGGCGCACAGTTGTGGTCCATTTTCCCCTGCCCGAGCCTGCTGAGTTCAGCAGATTGGTGTGAATTGGTTGAAGTTTATACTGGAGGAACCACAGGGCTATACAGTTATCAGAACAGAGGGAGAGAAGCCGAGAGGAGACAGAAGACTTGGGTTGAGAATATAATTCCACTGAAAAGCTGTTCCTCAGCGTTCGCATGTTTCTTGCTGTCAAAGACCTTTACAAGATTTTTTTTGGCACTTGAACCAGAACATCAGCTGTGAAAATAATCACTTACATGGCAGTACATATGAAAAATGTACTTAGGTTATCGTTTTTAAAACCTTACTGAGGCATGTCGCTGAGTTTGGGTCCTTCCAAAGGGTCCTGAGGTTAAATAGGAGGCACAACAGGGGATTTTAAGGTTTAGAAGAAGAAATGTTTTTGTATAATAAGCAAAATTTAGTTTTTGAATTTTAGTCTTGATACTTAAAACTATAAATATAAAGCCTAAAAAAAATGGCATATAAATCTAAGAAACAAATGTCATTCTTAGACCAACCTGAGATTCACTTTCATTCATTTTAAACAGCTTGGAAAAAGTGTTTTTAGTGTTTTTCTTTTCTTTTTTTTTTAAACTGCAGTTTGCAAGTGTACCCATATTAATGAATGGCCACTAGGCAGCGATGTGAGTCGTGGCCATGAATCCAACTCTTTTGGTCTCATAGCGTGATTAATGGTGATTGTATGGCAACTGCCACAGGTCTGAACCCTAATGTGCTGGATTTTTTAGCTGAGCAAAGTTACCCTGTTGAGAATGTGCAATAAAGACATCAATCAAGACCTCCAAACGATTATTTAGAGAACTGGAGAGGCAGCGAGAGTGATGCTATTTTAGCCTTCTTTTGCAAACTTTGTGATGGAAAGGTCTGCAGCTGTTCATCGCACATGTGTGTTTGTGCGTGCGTGCTACAATCGATACCTCAGAGGGGTTGATGGACTTTCACTCATTACTTCTTAATGAATTTCCCCCCTTTGCAGCCTTCCCCTTCTCTCCTGCTCCATCTGTTAACCCACAAACACACACACACTCACAGGCACACAAACAGAGCGCCACCTCTCTGGTTTAATTTCCATTTAACTTGTACCTAATGAGTTTACATTGTATTTTATCCTGTCTCAATTACAGGAGACAGTATAATGAAAGAGATGCTCTTTGTGATAGGATCCCCATCTCAGTGAGAGTTACTTAGCTGGGGATGGAGCCAAAACTCTGTCCAGTCTGTGTGAATGGGCCCCAGCAGAGCAACCAGACACTTTTGTCTGCGCCCGTCATTCTGCTTAATGTCTTTGTCCGCTTTGTCCGGCTGCAGTGGCCATCCCTCAGCCGGCATCATGTACGGCATGCCACCACTTCCATCGCAGGCCGCTATTGATCCGTCTCATGATCTAATCCCCTCGCTCTGCGCTGCTGCCAGACGCACTTCGATCTTCCCCCCAGTGTGTTACCACTGCAGCCACTGGCCTGTTGATGTCTTTATGAACCTGTCCACACTACACGCTACCCTGCATCTTTCATTTCCTCCACACACAGTGTCTTTAAAAGTGTGTGTGTGTGTGTGTGTGTGTGTGTGCAATGTTTTCCAGTGCACGTGTATACGTGTGCACGACCAGTCCTTGAGGTATTACCAATTTCGATCCGAACCCGCGTTGACCCTGAGAGAGAGCGAGGTGATTTTCTTCCTTGGTTTGCTCCACCACTGAAGCAGCCTCACTTCCTCATAAATACTTCAGGTCCTCAGCGTTCAAGGTTTAAAGTGATTTCCCTAAAATTAAGTTTCTGAGCTTGGAGTAATCCATCACTGCCATTTACTCTGCTTCCAGACAGGGTTTTTCTTTACAGGTTTATTAAATTAATACCTTTTCTGCCTGGCTTGTGGGAGAGGTCTGAATGAATTATGATTCTACACAGTGTGAGTTAAATCATGCTTTTCAAACCTGAAGGTAAGTGAGGTGTCTCTCTCTTGGAGTGTGCGCTGCTCATTCCATCTCTTAACTAATGGTCCACAAATGTCCTGTGAGTGTGTGTTAGGCATATCATTAGGTAAATGTTTCCTTTTTCCTGGCTCTTCCCTCCTGGCAGAGGAGGTTTGACATTGTTCCCTGGGAACAGATCGGGCTGGGGGAAAGTCTCCATGGTATTTGCTAATGATACCATTACCCTCCGCCACCTCTTTGTCACCCCAGGTGTTGAGCCCCTAATCTGTTGGCATTGGCTGGTGGAGAAGGTTGCTGTAGAGGGCTGAGTACACCGGTTAGCCTCTGGGAGAGCATTGGCACACCGTGGCCAAGCTCCAGCCCCTCTGCTGACCTTGGTGAAGGATGGAGAGAATGTGTGGCTGTGGTACAACAGAAGTTCACCCGCAACTGCAAAATGACGCCACAAACTAGGATCCCCTGTTTCTGTGTTGTTACAAAAGCCATTTCTGACATCTGGGGACATGCAGACGATAAAGAAAGGCTGCTAACATGTCAAAAATAAGTAAACATTCCAATTTGGAGCAAATTTTTTTGTATTTGCATCCTTTCTTCTTTTAAATATAGGTGAAAAAACAGATTAGTCAGTTAGCATAACTTGCATTCTTTGGGAACTGTTTTTGACAAATGATTCATTGTTTTTTGGACTGTGACGTGAACCAAAAAACACGAAAATAAAGTCAAAATATTAAAGTGCAAGTTACCTTACGTGCAGCATTTGAGTGCATGCACATTGTCTCCCTAGACTGATCAATAGGAATGATAAAGAAAACTTTTGTTTTAAAGGCTCAGAGTATAATAAGTCAGAATTCTCCTTTAACTCAATCTGCATCTTTCTCTGTTCCCTCTTTCTCATTCTTCCTTCTCCAACTCCCCCTCCTTCCTCTCTGGCTCTCTCTCCGGTTCTCTTTTGGATGAATCCCAATGCCTTTGAACTGGCTGCACCCCGCTTCCTCTCTCAGTGTTTGCCTCCTTCATTCTGAGCTGAAGCAAGAGGAGTGTGGAATAAATTGCATCCTCTCTTGTCCTCTGACAGACATTGCCCGTAGCTTTCCTCCTATGGGGGACAGGTGACAACAGATAGTGGCTATTTTAGAAGGATCATACTGCCTTTCTCAGTGTTGCCTCTGAGAAAGGACAGCAACCCCGCGCACACATACACACACACACACACCTTCTGTTCTGGAGTACATCTGGTTAGTGTGGAATGCAAAAGGATGGGAAAGCCCCGTGTGGCTCTTGGAGATTTGTCATTATTTATTGACCATAAATCCCCAGGAGTCCCAGTTAGTCCGTCTCTGATTGGAGGAACTTGAAGGGGGAGAGTAAGGATGGATTTAAGGCAAGTCTGACACTTACATCTTCAGGCACGGTGTACCTGGACGAGGAGCAAGCACACCAGGGACACACTCCAAACTAATGGAAAAAATATAGCAATGTGGTGGAAGCTGTATAAAGAACCAGCTGAATCTCCGGTGGGAATAACAGCATGTGCTGCATAACACACCAAACGCCGGGCTACCAGTTCCTCCTTCATCCCTTCCCTGTTATACGGCCTGAGAGTGCAAACATTGTCGTGGATAAATCAGATGAAGGCATTGTCATCCAGTCAAGTAAACAATCTTTTTAGCTGTGTGCGACTTCACCCTCCAGATGGTGCACGTGCAGCCTCACTGTCATGCCAGGAGAGCTCCATCACGTGGTCGGCCTGCCAGCCAGCCAGTCAGTCATCCAGAGCTCAAACAAGAGGGGAGCCAATAAGCTAACGACCAGCAAGGTTGTTCGCAAAACAGTCACCCAGAGTCTTATCATCTAGTGAGGCAGCAGGGAGGGAAATTACACACCGGAGATTAATCTCTCCAGAACCTTACTTTATTGATTTTGTTGACTTAAACACCTACAAAGTCAGCTATCACCTTTTCTATGCTCTGATATTTTGGCCATTAAATACACTGTCTAGCTATATATAGCACATATATACGTTCTGGTGAGACCAAAATTATCTCATGCTTTAATGTGGATTACAACAGATGTCATCTAATCTGTTCCCAGAAATAGTCACAAACAAACTAATGGCTGTTGTAGTGAGTAGACTACACTGCTGCTTGACGATGGCGTAAAAGGAGAGCTTTAATCTGAGGAGAAGGTTTCAGGAAAAGGGCAGAGTGAAGAGCTTTATGAGGAGATGAGGAGAGGGACAAAGACACAGTGACACCCATGAATTCATGTGCAGAATTATTTCACGCTGGTAGATCATCTCAGGGCTCCCAGAACATGTATTTATGATTCACATTGAATTTAAGAGTGCAAATTAATTTCGGCATGCATGCTCTGACTTCATATGACTTGCATGCAGAATAGTGCCCTCTGCTGAGAAATATTTAGAAGAACTTTGTCTCAGAGAAAACTGAGCAGAGTCAAGGTTGTTCACGCCTCAGAATTTGAGCATGTTTCTTGTGTTTTGTTGGTTTGACTTTGCATGGTGCCTGTCACACCCGCGTTCTGTTCCAGTGGTACATTTAAAATAGCATCACAACTAGACTCACCATTAATCTGTCTACCCACCTCTCCCTGTTTCTGTGTCTCCCACCTTCCTCCCCCCCAACTCAGGTCGAACTGGCTGAAGCCGTGCTGTGGACGAAGGGCGGCTCTGTGGCAGGTCTGTCTGCTGTCGGCTGGCTTCAACTGTTTCCTGGTGGCCTGCGTCATCCTGGTGGTGCTGCTGCTGATGCTGGAGCTGCTCATAGACACCAAGCTGTTGCAGTGTGAGTGATGAAAACCGAGATAATGTGGCTGAGATTCTCTTTGAGAGCATAATGCTGGAGAGGTGGCTTGGTGTAGTCATTGCTTAAAGTCTTGATTGGCAATAGAATTCTTGGAGAGGGAAAAAAAAGTGGACTGCTCAGCACATTTTTTTTTTTTTTACTAATTGCTATTCAAAGGTGCTGGCTCAATGCATGGACTCATATATATACTCACATAAATACCCAAGACAAAGAAGTAGGTTCACTACACCTTAATTAGTGTAAAAGCTGAGCTGCAGGAAGATTGTAGAGGTGGAAGCAGTACAGAAAACTAGAAAACTATTCGAGCCATATTAGGAGAGTTAGTTTGCACAAATGCCAGTAACATGGGAAGTCAACACTAAAGTACGACTATACTATACTATACTATGCTATGCTATGCTATGCTATACTATTATACTATACTATTGTACCTGTATTATTAGTTTTTTGCATATGTTTTGGTATTTCCATGTGTCAGACAATGAATTGCCCCAAAAAAAATGCATTTGATTTCATTCAGAAATCACCATTGTTTGTTCAACAAAAACAACTTTTTTAGGTTCCTTTGTCAGCTGCACATGACAACATTGATTCAAATAGGGATCCTTGTCAAAACAGTTAACCATGTAGAAAGACAGAAAAAATACTCTCAGACTGTGTAATATTATTTTTTAAAATTCTTATTGCTACCCTATCCTCTTAAGACCCAAGCTCTTGTTGCTTTTTTTTTTTTTTTTTAAATATCTTTGCTATTGGATTTGATCAAAAGAAAAAAAAAAGAAAGAAAACAAAAATATATTTAAAAGTATATATTTAAAAAATATTTTTTAAAATAATATAAAAATAAATAAATAACAATAATAAAATTAAAAATTAAAAAATGTATTTTAAAAAATAGCTACTGTGGTAATATAACCCAAAATGCGATGTCCACGCACATGGATGCCAGGTCTTAAGAGGTGAAACCTTTAACCTTGTGGGGCTGGCTTGCCTATAGTCTGGATAGTAGTGAAATAATATATTTAATTTTGAACATATACTGCGCCAATCCTTCTATCTGGATTAGATTTACAGCAAGCGGCTCGTTTTGAAAATGATCACATTAACCAAAAGCATGACAGTCCTTTCTGTCAATACATATATAACACATGTGTGTTCATGTAACTTTTCAGTGTATCAGCAGCCTAATACCACTCTAATGTTAATGTTACCATCCCTTGCTTGGAGCACCAGGTGGTAAAACACTTCACTATACAGCAGCTTTTGTATCCAACATAAAATTACCGAATGTGCAACATGTGTGTGCAGAGAAGTGTAAACACTAGCTGCTAGCCTGGCCTCATATGTCTACTGTATGTCACTGATGATCTATTCTGGGATCTAAGATTCTGATCAATCACGGTCTTGGGAATATAACCTCCTGATTAGTATTCTACACTTAACTCAGAATGTCAGGTGGTCGAAAGCCAGTCTGACCTGTGTCACCCCAGTGTCACCTTTATCTGCATCACCCAGTGTGGTGCACACGTCCTCATCTATCATAAGTAGAAGGTCAGGGGTGATGGCCCGTTTGATGTCATAGGGTTGACACGCGTGGTCTTGCTCCGGCAGTATCCAAACGAGTCTTTACTGTTCCCCTGGGACTGACTGATTGAACAGACAAAGGAAGAGTGGGACAAATGTTGGGAAGGGAGATAGCGGACAAAGAAATCCAGCAGCACGGAGTTGGCCGGTGGATGATTGTGGAGGGTGAGGAGGAGGAGGAGGGGGGAGACTGGAGGAAGATGAATGGACTGATAGACAGATCACTGAACACAGCAAACAAAGACAGATGGGGGGAGATGCGACGCGTGAAGAGAAATGCCTCGACTGATAGCTGAGTGCTGTTTGAGTCCATCCCGAATTAGCCTGATGAATAGACAAGAAGATAGACGCGTGCACGTACAGTATGGTGCTGAACTCGTATTTATGATGTTGCTTCATGCTTCTGTCTGCACATTTATTTATGCGTGTGCCCGAATGTGTTCATTTTCACCACTTTACTGCACCCTGTGGAGCTGATAACAGATATTTAATTCTATTAAAACGCAGCATCCATCTTTCTCACATAAGCTACCCTTAAAAGTAATCATTTATTTCTGTTTTATTTCCCTCAGTTAATAATGCATTCCAGTTTGCCAGCATCATCCACTGGATCAGCCTGGCTATTCTCTCTGTGTTCTTCACTGAGGTGAGTGTTTCCCGGCTCGACGCAACAAAACAGTCTCACTTACAGCTGATGCAGCGGCCTGTCGATTAATGCTATGTTGTGCAGTACGTGGGGCCAGAGAGGTGCACCGACAGATTCTCATTACAATACTAACGATACCGCGAAAGGCCCCGTGCCCTCTGTCACAGCATGTTTGGATTCTGGTGAACTTGTGCACAGCTCCACCTAAATGAAAGCTTAAAAATCTTCCATCGATACTGGAAGAAAATAACTGGTGTTGGTAGCTGCTGGCAGGTTTGGTCCCTCTCAGGTTATTTGATTGATCTGCAGCACAAACGTTTTAAAATGCAGATGGGGCTTTTCTGTGCTGCTAGTTTTAAATAATTTCAAGGCCTCAGGTGTGCTGTATCGATTACCATTTTCTTTACAGCCGAGCCACATTTGTCTTAGTTCCTTGTGCTTTGCCCACCTCCCTGCTAACTTTTGTTTCAGCTGGAGTTTTACTTGGCAACAGAGGCAGCCCCTCGGTGCTACACCGAAGCAGTGGAATCAGCAGGTTGACTGGTTTCTGCTCCGGTGTAACCTTGCATGTCTGAAATGAGAATGTGTGGGGGGGGTTAGGGGATGGCAAGGTTTGTTTGCTCTCCTCAGGCTCTACTGTGTCAGCAGAAGGAGCTAAATGCGGTGTCTGTAATTGTTTGGATGAAATCCTATCGCGCTCGCCTGTGATGTGTGCGAATATGATGTCGCTGATGAATTACCGGTGGGGGGGGGGGGATGAAAGGAGGGATGAAGTCTCAAGTGCAAATGGCGTTTACTGGGACTGTCAGGTTTATTATTGAGACGTAGTACAAACGGTGCTCTGCCTCCATCATCCTCTTGGTCCTGCTGTCCTTGTTTTTCTTCTAACCCTGCTCTCTGTCTCCGTCTCTGTCCCCCCCTACTGTCTCAGACGGTGTTCAGGATCGTGGTGTTGGGGATATGGGATTACATAGAGAACAAAGTAGAGGTAAGCTCCCCTGAGTCCCATTAGTCCTGACACGGGGCCCCTTTCACTGCAGTGTCATTCCCTCAATGTCACAGCTCAGTGTGGCAACTATAGAAGCTCCAACAGTAACCTGGAGTGTGTGTGTGTGTGTGTGTGTGTGTATGTGTGTGTGTGTTTATTTTATTCAGGTGTTTGATGGAGCTGTCATCGTACTCTCTCTGGCCCCCATGGTGGCCTCCACAGTGGCCAACGGCCCCAGCAGCCCCTGGGATGCTATCGGTCTCATCATCACACTGCGCATCTGGAGGGTCAAGAGGATCATCGACGGTGAGGCTGGGAGGGGCCGGCGTCCCCTTGCGTCCTGTCCTTTCCTGTCAGGTCACAGAGATAGATACCGCTCTGTGCTCTCGGCGCTATCGGCTACATTCAATCTTGAGGTTGTTTGCTCAATTAGTTTTTCCCCCTTTTTTGGTTATTTTTACATCAGCAACAACGGTAGGTCATAGCCTTTTGTAGCAACCCGGTGGTTTCAGTGCTCGCAAAAAAAACTGCAATGTTTACATCATATAGGTGCATTAGGAGCATTTTATATAATAGGAATAATTCTCTCATTTTAACAGTGTTGCTCCCCCGTGTGGATTTCAAATATAGTACAGGACACGTTCAAAGGGATGATTAGTCAGTGCGAGCAAAGTTTGAACTCTTGTTGTCGCCTCCTACACTAACTGCTTAAAAGATGTTGAGAATTTTAATCCAATCCAGTAACACTGCAAAAATGACTAAAAGCTGACAATAAAATGAGCACCCTTTATGTGAGAAAGTCTGCTGGTGCTTGTTTTGTGTCACTGGACATGGAACATATGCAAGCTTTTAATTTGATAAGACACTGATCAGCTCTATTCCACCCTTTTACAGCTCTGGGGGGGTTTAGTTAAATCAATTTAGAAATCACTGTTAACAGTCACACTGTTTCTGTATGAGGGAAATAAAAATGAGAAGACTATGTTCTGCTGTTCTAGCTTATGTGCTGCAAGTGAAGGTGGAAATGGAGCTGGAGATCCAGCAGTATGAGAAGGCCAAGGCGGTGAGGGAGGAACAGCTCGATCGTCTCACCCAGATCTGCCAGGAACAGGCGGTATGTCCTCTTATCTGCTTCATATCTTTTCTGTTATTTTGCAGCCGCATGTAACCAGCAGAGGGCAGCAAAGTGCTTTGCAAGGGGAAAATATATCTGCACTCCGAAACACATAAAAGAAAACCTACAAACTTGATCTCATAACATCACCAGATAATATTTTTACAGAAGTCTGGATATCAGATAGCCAGCACTGTGCATTAGCTCGGGACAGTCTATTGACTTTCTCACAATTTAATCATCTTAATTCTATTGTTTTTAAGTAACATTATCTTGCTGAAAAATAAGTTTAACTTTCTAAGTGTAACTGTGACTTTCTGTAATATGAGAGAAAAGTCCACTGTACGTCCGATACTAGTGAGACAGGAAATAACATAACATGGCAATACAATGATTTCCTTCTTCTATGCATTACTTTGAATCTCTGATGGACAACAAGTCTTCTCTCCCGTTCCTTCATTTCTTCTTCTTTCCCTTTTAGTTTGAAATCAGGCAGCTGAGGGCCCACCTGGCCCAGCAGGACCTGGATCTGGTAGCAGAGCGCGAAGCAGCCATGCAGATCCACCATATGTGGGGTAAACAGAGCAGCAGTTTCCAGGAGGTGGACGGACTGGCCCCTGGGGCCTCCGAGCATCACAGGCCAGCCAAAGCCAGAGAGCCTGGGGGGCCTGCAGGTAACCGTCTGGAACACCCAACTTCTTTGTATTACAGGCTATCAAAGACCTCTGTGCACAGGAGAGAATTCAGGCTGTGCTCCCCATGATAATCCACACACATAGATGGCTGAATGTAGAGACACTCAATGCCTTTGAGGGAAGCGCCTGTAAACGACGAAATTGGCTGATGACTTAAAGGTTCAATTCAATTCAATTTTATTTGTATAGCGCATATTTACAACAACAAGTCATCTCATAGCACTTCACAAAGGCAGAGACAGAAAACCCAACAATCCAAAACATTTGGATTCCCTATAAGCTTCAGCAGTCCACAAGCAGTCCGCAACAGTGGGAAGGAACCGAAAACCCCAGTTGAGAGCTTAAAATCTTTTGGGGAGACATTTTGACTGGGAAATCCTTCCTGATCCTGGGTAACACTGAACTGTTCGTTATGTATGTAACATGTAGGGCTGTTCTGTCAAAGAGAGTTTTCGGGTTACCAAAAGCTGTAAAAAAAAAAAATAATAATACTAATAATAATAATAATAAAAATCAGAAAAAAATTAGACACCACTTAGTCCATTCTTCATGTTGGAGGATAGGACTGTTGGGATGTCTCACATCAACACAGTGTTGGTGTCCTTTTCTCAAAAACATTAGTCTCAGAGTCCACATAAAAATTCTGGTGCCACGCCCAGATGGACTATAAACCTTTCACACAGCGACAGGTCATAACTCACAAGACTTAAAGCGACAAAGCGCTGTCAGTACAGGTGATGTCAGGGCTCCGAACACTGAGGCTTTTCCTTTATCAAAGCCGTAAATCACAGTGTGAGCTGCCATACATCTGAGCCGCCGTGTTTCCACTCAGACAACCTTTTAACTGGGCCTGAACCTCGTATACTCATGTGGTATTGATCATCCGGAGATGGTCCCTGTCACAGTTTAGGCTGAACAATGAGTGGCCCCCTCCTGAGACTCTCATAAAATGAATATGTGAAACCCAAACATTAATGAACAAAGGCCATATAACAGTCCTTTAGGACCTTGGAGAGCACTGAAGAGAAACACTTCAACTGATTTAGTACCTGTGAAACACACCAATGCACCAAGTGTTCATTCAGATAGTTCTAAAATAATCTACGAGTTAGTAGATCAACAAAAGTGTAAATAATTTTAATGAATACTTTGGAAAACAATTAAGAATTTCATCATTTCTAATAGGAAAAACTGCTGCTTTCTGTTCTATATGATTGGAAAATGAATGCCTTTGGAGTTTGAATTGTTACACTCAAAGCAAGCAATTTGAAAACTTTGCACTTTCAATTATTTTTAAATGCTCTTTTAGATTTTAGAGATTTGTAATTGTCACCTAAAAGGAAAACAATCAGAAGCTTCACCCAAAAATTAAGGTACCACAAGCTTTCAAGGTGACACTTTAACCCTCTGAACCTCAAGCAGTGTCTGGATGTATTTAGTTTCTGTCATTTCTCACTGCAACATAGAGTCCCTCACCTCGATGAAAACAACTGGATAAACGATTTTTTTGTCACGTTATTGTCAGTTGCAGTTGAGTCAAAAATCAAGGCCCACAGGATTTTATTATTTAGTTTTTAATTATTTTCTTTTACAGAATCAGGTTAATGCAAACAGTTTCCTTTTGTCTAAATATTAAAACATTAAAAGTTTAGCTGAAATATTAATTTCAATTTCAAGCTTAAATTTTGGACTGTCAGAAAAATTTCTTTCTGTTTTTTAAAGTTTCTGGGTCTGAAAAACGGTGTCATTATTGTTGATTTTTTTTTTTTAAATGTTTATTTTTTTTTAGATAAAAAAAACAACCTGCTGGCAGGTTTTGGGGCTCAAATGTTTAACTCTTCTTTTTTAGCTTTTTAAGCAGTGAACACGTAATGAGTAGTTTTTATCACATCATAATGTAGTTACACATATCAGTCAAAGTGTTTGTTAATGCACAACACTGGTCAGTATTTTTAACTCTTTTGAAGACACGTCATGCTCTTTCAGGTGTGTTTTGTCATATACTTATACGTTATCTGTTACTCGGGCCTACACTCATTAGTGTCCACAGGAGGACTTGTAATTATTGACGATTACATAAATATAGTAATTAAGATTTGTGTCCGACTACAGCATGTCATAAACTGCTTTGTCAATGGTTGTACATATTTATTAAATCCTAAATCAGGGTACTAAGTGTGTTAAAGTGTGACTTTTATCTTATATGGATTTTAAACATTTCAGACATTGTATGGTAAAAGAAGTGTGTGCCATGTTTTTGTACACTACACATGATTTCCTTATACAGTGACCTCTCTTTTATTAGGGTCCGAGCACCCAAAAGGGTGCGAAGACCCTATTGGAACTGCTCGGATGATTATTATTATT